TCTATTCAGTGGTAAACGGCAAGAAAATAAAGAACTGTTATTTTCCATCTCATATTTCAAATAAAGGCAGGTTTATATTCAATTTAGCAATTACCAGAAAGACATGCATGCATTTACAACTACTCATTAAAAACGTACAAACGAACACTTTATAAATTGATTTCTTAACCTGTATCGGCAAACATTGACGAAAGGTCAGTCATTAATTCAACTATCAACCAATTGTGCTCAAGCCAGTACACACAGATGCTTGAAAACAAAGGTCTATTTTATGTTTAAAAGATTATACTAAAATGGTATACCCTACAATCAAAGAGTGCAGTACAGTAATTTAGTTGATGCAGTTAGTGAGTTTGAAAGAAGTTTTATATTAAATTAAGGTTAAGGTTATTTGGTAATTGTGTATATTTTGAACAAACTAATTACTGTATATATGAGAGAGGACCATTATTTCAAACTATTGCAGGATCAAGCATATTTAATCCAGAATAATGCTATACCTTGTTCAAGACATTGTTATTGTCTTCCTGCTCATCATCGTTATCATTACCATCATCGCTCATCTTATTTTGTTGCAATTTTGCATTTCTTCTGCACTATAGTCGTCATCTTATCTAACCATCATCTCTTGCTCTTTCTCCATGGATCTTTATCAACCATCAACAATTTACTTTTCACATTACTCTCTTTATCATCTAAAATTTAAACAAAATGATAATTATCATCTTTGTCATCATTTATGCATCAACATTATTATCATCAACACCAACAACTACATCATCATAATTATCATCATCATCATAATTTTCATCATCATCATCATCATAATTATCATCATAATTATCATCATCATAAAAATCATCATCATCATCATCATCATCCCAGACACCAATTAGTGTGACATGCAATTCAATAGAATTTATCAATCTTTTTAAAAGTTATAAAAACCCTTTGATAGATTTGACTATACTTCAATGACACACCATATAAAGGGAAGTAAGTACATTTTGAGACAATAAGACCACACAAGTTCTCCCTCTTTGATAATAGCATCACACTAGTTAACTAAAAATTCTGCTGAATACAAATAAATAAATTTCTCTTTATGAGGAATCCCCTAGTGGTTAAGTGGAGCCTTTCAACCCAGTGATCACAGATTCAAGTCTAACTAGGGTCACTACCATGTTTCCTCATAGCACAACAGCACTGGGTAGTTTGTTTTTGTTGTTGTTTTTTTGTTGTTGTTGTTGTTTTAAAGTAATTTTTATAAGTTGCAAAAATCTTGTTTTGAACAAATATGTTTAAACTAAAGGAATCTCTGAATACTTTATCTTTACTTAATACATTCAGATGAAAATACATTACATTAAAATACTTGATCATCTCGGATCAGGTGGCAATTCAAACTATTAAACTATTTAGAAAATACTAAAAACATGTATACAATGCTTAACCAAGGCTAAATTAAATAAATAATAAAGCAGCACAACAAAAGACTCATTATTTTACCATTAAGCTAGTAGAATATTTTATACATATAGAAACAAAGAACTTGACTTGTCCGGCATTGTCAACAAAGATTTAAATGAAAGAAGGGAGGTAACCTGGCAAAAAATGTCAAAATGAGAATGGACAGAGTTTTCTTACCTTGCATTTATAAAGTAAAGTATCAGTTTTATAAGTAAAGTGTATAGCTGTTTTTTAATATAATATTTCGTGTAATTAGGAAAATTGTACATTATCTAGACCAGTTTAAGAAAAGTTGCATAGAGGAAAATCATTGTGTTTGATCATGGTATATAGAGAAAGAGATTGAATCTTTCCATTTCATTTCTAGGAGGTCTTTAGCAATAGTGTGACTGAATTAATTTTCAGCTCAATGATTGTAAAAACACTGTGCACTTACTTCTGAGAATGATTGAACCTTAAGCCTTCTGGCAGCAGCAACCGATTCAACCTAAGTGACCACTGTAGATCAACAACAGAACTGTGACATCTGATCATGGTCTGTACATATTTTTAGATTTTCCCTAAAAATGATGAATGGTTTAGTCCATATTTACAGTTGGCAAGTCCATATATGATATTTAGCATGGTTAAATATATTTAATTACCAGAAAAATTAATGAAATATATATATATATATAATTTGTATAAAATTCATATCAAAATTAATGGATTTGGAAAACTTACCCTTGTCAGTCTTCTTTTTCAGTGCTGTAGCCAGGTCCTTAACCTTCTTAGAACTTCCCTGGTGCACTCTGGGCTATTTCAACAGGTATTTTACTGCAAGAAAAACATCGTATTGCACCTTATGTACAATTCCGCTTCAGCTACAAAGGGTGTAAATTGTTTAAAGGGAGGTAACTTAAAACATTATTATCACGGTAATGTGCAAAAAATTTGGTAGTGTGGCAGACACAATTTTTGTTATTGTGCTCTAGTTCTGATTTGATCTAAACTTTGAGAGACTGATCATTGGCACTTAGTTTTGAGATCATGAAGACCCTTTTGACCATAGAACTTAAATGTATCAAAAATTTATTTTTAAAGTAACATAAAGCTCGTTTTTTCATACCCGTCATCATGAACATTAATTATTTGTAATTAAGTTCCATGCCATCACAATCCTTTGTCAAATTGATATTATTTACTAATGATTTGTCAAAAAGGCCTCCCCCCCCCCCCCCCCCCCCAGAACTCGTAGGCCAGAATCCTGTCAGGGACTTTGGATTTTTAATATCAAACAACAACAAAAAAGCAACGGAACCAAGTGCCTGACTTATCTATCGAAAATTAACATAGGCAATCAACATCTGATTTGTATTTCGTAGAATTTTTCACCAGTAATTTTAAATACAACAAACATATCATATGTAAAACTTGTATATCTAGAATAAAGGGAGGTAAAAACGTAAGAACATTTAATTTTTTTTTTAAGTAATTACTTCCCTTTGTTTAAGAAATTGTTAAGATAAAGGGAGTTAAAAATGTAAAGTTTAAAGAAGTGCACATTACTTCCCCTTAACAGGAAAATTTGGCCAATACTGAAATGTTGCTGTTTGAAGCACTATGTTGTAATGATTTGACTAACTATATAGTCTCTGGATTTGACACACTGCCCTTTAAGTTGTAAATTGTACCAAATTTTTAATGAAACTATTATAAAATAAAATCTTACCAAAATTTTGTATGAATAAATGTCATTTTATCAACTGTATAACTCCCTTGGCGGAAAAAATGTGTTAACTTTTATAACCTTTTTTCTGTATGTATATCATACAAAATATATCAAAATTTAGGGTAAATAATTTTGTAATTTTAATATAATTCCAAGGGGAAATAATCTGTGCATTTTGATAGCATACAATGGTACAGTAAATAAATAATTCAAAAAATATAAATAATTTACATTATATTTCAATAATATCATAGAATATTATGAGAAATGAAAGGCCTCTGAATTATTGATCATGTATGGGAGGAACAGGTGCAAGTTAACGATAGGGGATATCGGGTGCAAACTAAGGTATAACTTCTTATGCATTTCCTCCAACTCAAAGAATTTATAAATAGGCTAGAATTGCAATGTATTAATATTTTTTTCTCTTTTTTCCCTCGGTATATACATGTCATAGAGAAGGCAAATGGAATCAGTAGTATAGTTAAAGAACTTTGTTTGGCTATGAAGAAGAACGAAACTTGTAACCTGCAGACCAGCTGTGAATGTCCTGACTGATGCTGAGAGGAGTGGCCCTTGAAGGAGAAAGGTACAATGTGAAATGGTGCTAGATTGAGCAAATCCTTGGCTATTGAACAATATTTTAATGGCCAAACTGAGAACTTGTTAACAACATAAATTATTAATATTCATGTTCAATAAGTGCATTTGTTTATTCTTTTCTTATTTTTTGGTAAGGTCTATCTTAAGATCAATCAATTTAACAGCTGTTAATATAAGAGGAAGAATTAAGACACCTCTCTGCACAAGCAATCTTGGTAGAACTATTGTACCTCCACAAGACAAGCTGGATGGGAAGCTTCCAAAATACAATGTACAATGTTCCTAAATGGACTCATATCCAGCATTTCAATCAAGAGTATGTCAATAGCCAGAAACTTTAATCCATTTGGGTTTTATTTTTTAAATCCGACTTGCTTATAACTAAATCACTGTTTTATTTATCTTGTATTAATTACTATTTTGTACTATTAAAACAATAGTCCTTCAATTTCCTTATACATCATTACAAAACCTACTTGTGTTACAGTCACACGCCTGATTAAGATTACGATCTTTAGGATACCATTACTGTTACTTAATCCCCAGCAAATATTACATGTCTTCATTATTTAATGAAGCAGATTGGCAATTTATGCCTTAATGTCTGAGTCACAATTTTCATGTGCAGTAGAGCTCAAAAATCATCTTGCAAGTTGTAGGGTATCACAAGCTCTCTTTAATAACATAACCTTGAAATTTCTATCTTCACATGCTATTGACTCCCAGAAATAAGAAAATCTTCACATTCTATGGACTCATTATATACAGAAAACCTTGAAATTTCTATCTTCACATTCTATGGAATCTCTGTATAAAGAAAAATTGAACTTTCTATCTTCACATTCTATGGACTCTCTGTATAAAGAAAACTTGAACTTTCTATCCTTCACTTTCTATGGACCATAGGGAAATTGGTTCAAGATCATGCAAATCTTGAATAACTCAATATAATTAATACATTAAACCATTTCAATGCTGACTTTAAGTAAAACAAATGTTTTGCTTTAAATTTTGAACAACCAGTAAGTTGGCAATTTGGTAGCTTTGGAGACTTCAGTATCAATGTAATGGAAATGAGTAGACAGGACTGAAAGGAAGTGAAAGTGCACACTGGCCTGGCACATACATGTATATATTTGTGGTCAACATGTCTTCCAACATCACCAAATGTGGTATTATGTAATATCATTTGTACAAATAACAACAAAAACTATAATATCATTTCATATTTTTTGGTAATTTTATTAGTTTCAACATTTACTTTGTACAAAACTAATACTTTGGTATGGTAACAAATAAAAACTTATGACATCAATTTGTACATAGCTATAACATTTTATAATCAGTAATCATACAATGTATTTGGTTTTGCGTCATGGTGTTATTTGTGTCATCTGTATACTATATAATAAATATATATTCTTTTCTTACTTATAATACATTTACTGCAGATTTTAAAATGGTTTAGGACCGGTGATCCCACAAAAAGTAAAAACAATTTTATAAATAAATAATCAGTTTTTTTTTTGGTGTTTTCTTTTCAGTCAATTATTATAATAAAATCCATTTAAAAACTTTATAATCAATGTATTACAAAGTTAAAACCATAGTTAAAAGGCAGACAAGTATCGTAAAGAAGGAAACATTATCAAAAAAAAAGATAACAAAAACTTGAATGATTCCCTCCACATGGACTACTAAGATAAACCTGACATACTCAAGTACTGATACTTTTCTGAGTGTATCAAAATTTATTCAATTCATTTTATTTTCTTCTTTAATTTTTTTTGCAAACAAAAAATCCCCGAGAAATAATTACGTACAATCATCTTTCACAGGAAGAGAAAAGCATGTAAATTTTCTTCAAACATTCTATTTCAAAATGAATATTACGCCTTTTCGAGAAATATAATTTAATTCTTACAAAAATCATTAATCAAAATGCATGGTTGATGCATCTTGTCATTTTCACAACCATTTATGTTTAAAATCATAAATTTTCACACAAAAAGCTTTCATAGAAAATTCGAATGCATCATTTATTTAAATTATTTTATCTTTTCTTAAAATTCAGTAAAACTCATCCTTTTACATTACATCATGTATTTAAAATCAAACATAACTTTATTGACTTAAGATATAGTAGTCAAACTACTGGCTTTCCAAAACAATCAAGTGGTTGTTGAACGATAAGATTATTTTTCATATTGCATTTTAAAATGATAAGTTATCTTCAAAAAATTGCATTTTATTTGAAAATTTTTCTTATCAAAGAAACTAAAATATAAAACATTGTTTCCTTTATTTTCCATGAGATTTCATTTAAAAAAATATTATCTGTGGGTTATTTTAATATTATTTTTTGGTTTAAAACCCCCAGATTTTTACCTACCAGTATTTCATTATTGTGAATTACACATGAAAAGTGTTTTCTTTTAGAAAATGGTAAATTTTTTTTAATGAAAGTGGTAAATGTTTCATTAAAATCAATTAAAAAACAACAGCCTTAATACAATACAAATTGATTATTTTTAAAAAGAAATAATGCAGATTTTTTTCAGCTGAAAAATGTAATGATTTTTCATACTGAAAATGATATAGTTTTAATCAAACATAATTCATAGGCATTTATTATATGAACACAATAAAGAAATATGGACCCGTCTTTTTTATACAGAGCAACAAAAATAGATAATTTTTATGCGTAGAAATTTTACAACACAATAATATACAATGTACGTATAACAAAAATTGAAAATGTAAGAAAAAAACAACAAAAGAAACATAAAACAACATAGTTTGTGTCTCTCGTCAAATTTATAGCACCCTCATGTTACAGACAAAAAGTGACTTTGCCATTTTCATCATTCATTAAAACAAGTGAATCTGCAATTTCTTCCATGCTTCCAGCTTACTGTTACATCTTTGTATAGATGTACACACCAGAATCTTTTTTGTGCATTCACAAAATGTTGAACAATCTTTTTTACTTCTTTAAAAAAACAACAACATAATTTATAAGAGAATTAACGAGCAAGAAATTACATCTCAAAAGTTTATGTTGCGAATCATGATGTTGCAAAACCACAATTATCATCCTTGAAATGTCATGGAATAAAATAATGCTAGTTTTTATTGTTCACTTCTTATCATTCCATCCATATTAAAAATATATGTTCACTTGGAAGTTGTACTAACTCTTGACCACTACAAGGTTGGGCCTGTTGTGTAACTTTTTGTGATCCTTCAAACCATTTCTGAACCCAGTGAGGCCTGAAAGAAAACAAAATATATTTTTACTTTCAATTCCAAGGTTTATATTTTAGATTTTTAAATAAATGAAAGTATAAACAAGACCTATCCACAGATGTGCTCCTTTTTTCTCATTGTTGGATATTTAAATAAAAGTAGCATAGAAAAAGGGACATAACTTTGAAAAAATTAATTTTAGGATTATCTGCCATTTTGAAATGACATAAACAAGTATATTAAGTTTGATGTTTAACTTTTATAGTTCTAAGAAAATGGGCTTTAAAGAAAAAGCTAATCAACACATATGCCTAGGCAAATGCCAAGGCAACACTTACTAGAGGGTCATGATAATAGCTCCACTTTTTTTCTTAGAAAAGTGGAGCTTAAAATGAACAAATTTCTCATAATACGTTGGGTGAATTTCAATAATGGGCATTTATTCTATTCAATTTCTAACTGTCCATTAAGAATTTCAATGTCAAGACAATGGAAGTGGGCAATCAACAGTGTACAGTATGGTGGGTGCCTGTCCTTGCTCTATATTGGTGACAGACAATTTACTGTTAACACTCAAAAGGCTGAATCTATAAATGACGAATATATTAATTTAAAATTTAAAGAAAGTTATTGTACTTTCTCAAAAACTTTACAATGGAAATGTTTCATTTCCAAAGACTTCTTTAAGTTATTTCTGAACACAATTTTGTATCAATTGTGTTGATTTATAATCAAATATTACTCAAAAGAGTTTTCTACAAAGAAAAGCCATTTAATTTAAAAATAAAATGCTACTTCTAGCATAAATACTGACCTTAAGTGGTGAAAGTTTGCAGTTTCTGAACTTCTTACTGGTCAATGTTCTACCAGCATTATAAGTCATCAACTCCAGCATTTCTAGGCCATTAACCGGATCAGACATAGAATTGCCCCTCAATATCTCTACAATCTGTATTTCACTATTGTCATATATATAATATAGTCATTCTATATTTATATTATATTTGAGATCTCTCATAAATTATGTAATGGCAGTTCCTATCACAGATATGGCAAATATAGTTCACTGATTTGAAGAATAAGAATTGAGCTTTGTCACACAAAATTGAACAAATTGTCAAGGTATTCAACCCTCAAAATCACAAAAGATCCTCTATGGAATGCAATGTGTAACTCCCTGACGTCGTAGTTGAGCAATCATCATCCTCTTGCGAATGTTTACGATAGTGGGCGTCACGCGCCAAGAAATATGCTAAGTCATTCTGAGCAATTACACTATTTGATTTGATTGGATGATTAGAATGAGGCTGAGTATGTTGCCATGACAACATATTTGGGTCAAGGACAGAAAGGTCATTGTTTAAATGAAGGGGCGCACTTTGATATTGTCTGTTATTTTGTAGATAGCTTTGGTTATTGTTAAATGATCCATATGGTTTGTATGTCCGACATGGAATTGGAGGAGGTACAGCACTGTAGTTATCTGCCCTTGATGGCACTAGTTTACTAGGAGCAGACGGCATTGATATTTTCACAGGTACAGCATAATCAAATATTTTCTGGTCATCTGAAAATTAAAATATGTATCATTATAGTATATTGTGATGTCAATACTCAACGACAGAAAACACCACTTCCTGTATGGGATTTAATTTCCCGCTTACAAATAAAGAAAACATCTTGTGACTCAGCCAAAGAGACATTCAGTTCAATATTATTAAAAGTCTTAAAATAAAAAATAATGTACACAGAAATTCAAATATTCATTGTTATATATACAATATAAAGGAATTACAGTTTCTGGTTTTAATTTGAAATAAAGCACCACTTATTGTTACTCTTAGTGCCGCTAAGTCAACCATGTCAGGCCTACATGTTTTGCTGGCTGCCATATTTTATGGTTTAGCAAAAAAAAAATTGTGACATTAATTTTTCAGCCTCAGCACCCTGATAAAGTAGCATTTTGCATGATGTAAATTGAGACAATTATATAAAGTGTAATGAAGCATTTTAATGACTGTCTGCAAACCTTCCTTATTTCTTTGTTTTCTTCCCCAAAATAATTAATTACCAGACACATTCCTTAGGTTCCATAAAAAAATAAAATTGTCCTGATTGATTCATGCCTCTCACGGAATTTGATTTAACATGTTTCAGTAAATTACCCAAGAAAATAAACATTTAAATGATTAACAGTTACAGTACATGTATAAAGATTTGAAAGAAAGCAAAGAAATAGACTTTGTCATTTTCAGAAGAAAAAGATTTATCTAAATTCAATTCATGATAACATTCACTTTTTTTCCTGTAACAATTTACATTTCAGAAATAATGTAATACAAAAATTGCATTTCTGCATTCCTTATTCTTAATTAATACAGTGTAACTCATGCAGGGTGGCCCTTTGGAGATAAATTAGTCTTTTACAACAACAACAACACTTTTTCAGGAAACAAAATGAACCTTCCAAAGGGTATCTCTCGGCAGAGGTTGTACTGAATATACATATAATAATCTTAAATTAATATGTGTTTATGTAGTAGCTACGATATTTTTATCGTGTTGACACTTACCATGTGACGGTGATGCACTTGTGACTTCCTCCTCACTTGCTCCTCGGCCACTATCCCCGCTACTAGTTTCTCCCGATGTTTCGCTCCGACTATCGTCAGGATTTGCATGCACAGCTTGTTGTTGTTGTTTAGCAATCTGGAGCATTCGTTGGATTTTAAGATTCTCTAGTCGGGTCGACACTTTATCATAAAGATCCTGGGTGCTGTCACTTTTCTCAAGTCGAGGGGGCTGTAAAAAAATAAATTTCAGTCTTATAAAAACACTTGACTTAAACAAACATCTTCAATTTTATAGCACAATATTTAACAAAATGAACTTGCCCACCTTCCAGTTTTGGAACTGTCCATAATCAATTATGGGAATCTCCAGGTGAAAATATGAAGTTGGTCAGTCAACAGTTTAGAGCCTGGTCAGACTGAATGTGAAGTGCAGTCTGGACTGGCTCCACATATACTGGTGGCAAAGGTTGTACCAGCAGGGTAAATTTTAAAGTGGCATATAAATTAAAATTTTATTGCTATATAATAAATCATTTGGCTATCATAGATAGTGTGTATTGTTTATGGAACACTTTTGTCAAAAACAAACAGAACAGTCAGTTATCAGGCTTAATAAACACTTAAATTAGTTTAGATAAAGAGGGAACAGATTTTGTGCTGAAACAAGTAATTTAATTTAGATTTATTTGTATTTTTTAGCTTTATGTTTCAGGGAATTTGGGTCATTGACAAGTTTCTTAGCTTTTCCATTAAAAAAACTACAGTTATTTCACTTTGATTATTTATGCTTAAGAGCAAATTTTTTTATTTTATTATTTATATGAAATCTTATAAAATTACCTTTTCTGGTGAATACTGTATAGGATTTGGGGCTTTGCTAACTTGCATATCTAGATGTTGGTAGTTACTCATGGAATCGTGGTCATCAAGTGAGAAGCTTACTTCTTTCTTCTTCTTGCCAATGTCCGAACCTGGCATAATAAAGTCTGTGCTAGATTCTCCTGTGTTATTCATAATGTACACCGTTTGTTTATTAGCGTACATATTATCATTTCTAATATTTGCACTTTCAGACAGTTTTTTCTTACGATCCATTGTTCGAAGAAGAAAGATAACTCCGATGATGACAGCCGAAAGTAAAATCGTCACTATAACCACAACAACAACAATAACGACAAATTTACTACTTTCACTTGTAATTCCTTCATAGGTGGCGTTAGTGTAGATAACATTGACTATAAGTTCAGCTGTAGAGGAAAGACTTACGGCCCCCCTGTCACGTACTTCAATCAACAGTGCTATCGATATGTCCTTTTCAATAACTACTGTGTTATCTGCAACAGTGATTATTCCCGATTTTTCATCAATTTTAAACAGTCCTAATTCATTCCCCTTAGTTATACTGAATCTCAGCGTACCATTTTCACCAGCATCAATATCATGGGCTTGAATATGTGTTACGATTTCAACGTCTTCTGTAGGGTAGTAGAGGGTCGCAGTTTTATTTTTGTTACTTTTTGTAGGGAATGTTATGTTTGGTCTGTTATCATTAACATCGTTAACAATTATTGTTACCGGAACAGTACTTGCCAAGGCAGGACTACCTTGATCAGTTACGGTAACATTAAAAACATATCTACTTTGAACTTCACGATCAAGTGCCCGATTTGACTGAATAACGCCATCAGTAAAAATATGGAAAGGAATTTTTCTGTCAATGAAAGTGGACGAAAGCGAAAAAGTAAACATTCCATTGGCACCAATATCTGCATCCGTGGCTGCAACTTCATTTACTGATGTACCAGAATTCAAATTTTCCAGTATTTCAAAAGTGTAACTTGACTGGGTGAATTTTGGGGCATTGTCATTCATATCTTCAATGGTCAAAGTCACTGTCGCTGTGCCAGTCAGCGGCTTTTCTCCAGAGTCTATAGCTAACACTTCAAATGTTACAACTGGTGTAACTTCACGATTAAAGAATGGCTTGGCTGTTATAACTCCTGTTACAGAATCAATCATTATTTTATCCTGGTTTCTAACCTCGTAGTGAATTCTTTTGTTAATACCTATATCTTTATCAGTTGCAGTAACTTGAAGAATAACTTTGTTGGTCATTGTATTTTCTGGAATCTTAGCTTTATAATTTCTATATTGAAATTCAGGATGCTTGTCATTAAAGTCTGTTACTCGTACAAGGAAACTTACGGATGAATTAAGAGGTGGATTTCCTCGATCAGAACAAACAGCGGTTACATTATGTAGGTCAGTCACTTCACGATCTAAGGTATTTGATACAACTACTTTATAGGCTTCTTCCTCGAGCTTCACAACATCAAAGAAACTATTCGAAACTGAGCAGTTAACTTGTCCATTAGCCCCCGTATCTGAATCTTCAACAGTAATGTGGGCAACAAAATATCCAATTTTTGAATTTTCCGAAACATTAACAAATCTAATATTCCCAGGTGAGAGTAGACTGAGGGTGATTTTTGGAGGATTATTTCCGGTATCGGTGACATAGATATACACATAGACCTGAGAAATCTGTCTCCACCATCCAATGCTTCAACAATAAAGCTGTAATGGAAGTCCGATTGAAAAACCAGCTTATCGATGGCCACTTTTATTTCACCAGATGTCTCATTTATTGTTAGGTCTTTAAGAACCTGCGCAGATGACCTTTCATTCATTTGATATGTAACAACACCATTTTCACCTATATCTTTATCTTCAGCATGGACTGTTAGAACAGTTGACCCTCTTGGTGTCCCCTCTTCCACAGAAACATTATATACTGCATGATCAAAAATAGGTTTATTATCATTTATATCAGTAACAACAATGTCTACAATCAGAACTCCGGACTTTGGCGGGTTCCCTCCATCTTTAGCCACAATTCTGACCTGATAAGATGGCGTAACCTCTCTATCCAGTAGTGTCTTCACAACAAGTTCCACCTTGAATGTTCCATCAAGAACTTTTTCACTTACTAATCTAAATGTGTCACTTGGTGTTTCTAGGTCATAGCTTTGGATACCATTGGTTCCACCAGTGTCTGGGTCATCGGCACTTGGGAGAGGGATCCTACTATCTACAGGAGCTCCTTCCGACACTTTGATTTCAATACGATTATCCGTGAACATTGGTGCATTGTCATTTATATCCTCAATAACGACTTTCACATTGATTGTTTGATAGAACTGTCCATCCGTTTTAGCAGCCACCTTAAAATCCAATTCACATTTTGAGTCACTATACGTCTGACAAATGGATTCCCTGTCCATTTTCACCATTGTGAACAGTTCACCAGTTTCACCATTCAAGGTAAAGTACTGAGCATACGTATTCATTAAAAAACTAAATCGTAAAGAATCTCTTTCGGCTTCCGGAACATTCAAGGTAACATTAGCAAGACTTCCTATTCTAATGCCTGTATCTTGTTCGTCTATAACTTTAAAGGTCACAGAAGGAGGAGCCTCTTGAGTGAAGGTCAAGGATACCAATGCCAAGGTTGTTAAGATGAGAGTGATCGAAGTCGCCATGGTGATGAACTGTTAACCTTTATTCAATCTGTCATAATTTGGTCCTGAAATTATAAATGAGATTAAATTTAAAATTCATTATTCAGTTAAGATTCACTTTTGGAAATATTCATAGACAAATCATTAAATTGGAAATATTCATAGAAAATTCATTAATTTGAAAATATCTATATTAAGCCATCATTAAATTTGGAATATTCATAGAATATTCATTAATTTGGAAATTTTTATAAAATTATCATTGAACTTTGAATAATCATAGAATAAATTATTATCCTTAATTTGGAAATATTTATAAAATTATTTTTAAATTGGGAATATTTGTAGAATATTCATTAATTTGGAAATATTTATAAAATTATCATTAAATTGGGAATATACATGGAATAATCATAAAAACATTCTTAAATGTAATGATAATGAAATAAAACATTTTACGGTTATATAACTATTGTACAATTTGTAATTCTGATACAGGGGCTTAATCACAGGGCATGAAGTCCATTCACAATCATTTTATTGACAATTATATGGGATAAAAAATGTGATCATAAATAAAAAAATGTTTTTCATTACAAAAAAAAGGAAACATTATTTAAAAGCTTTAAAGCAAATGTTTGAATCTGGCTTAACTTTCGTTATCCCATCTTGAACCCTTGAAATCTTATCATGTGTTCAAACATTATTGAATTGTTAAAATCACAAAATATCAGCGAGGGCTTCCCGTGCGGGGCATTGATCAGGAACAGTGAAAGTAGTGTAAGTTTTATGTACATAATAACCGGGAATAAAGAGCACGATGACAGCAAAAGATGTTTGCCAAGCCTTTAACTTTCAAACCTCCGACAATTTCGATACAAACTTTATTAAAGTTGAAGAGCAAGGCAAATAAACGGCTAATAATACGTGGAGATTATTATTCCACTTTCTTAGAGCTGATTTATCATCGACAACTCAAATATTTCTAATTAGTGACAGCCTTTTACACCTATAGTAGATTTGAAGTTAAATCTTTAACAATTTAAACGATAATCCAATCAGGACAATTTGTTGACATAAATTGTAGCACTAAATCCTAAAATCCATGCCCCCAGTGATGGCAGATTTTCATTTCATTTTGCACAATAAAACATTTTCCTACCTTAAAAATTTACATTTTCCTATTCTAAACTATTTTCAGGCCTTTTCAGACCTATCAATAATTAAACAAAACATAAAAGGAATAAAATAGTAAACTTCCAAAGAACTTCATTTTCAATACATATTTTATATGTAAATTATGATTAATGAAATGATACAGTGCAACATTCTAAAATCCAAAGAGAGAAAAAAGAGAAAAGAAAATGTACCTTTTGCCAATTTATACACATAAACATACAATGCACACACAATTTTATTTCCAGTTATAAATTCAGTGTTCACACTTCAGGACACAGTAGAATTATGGTTTATTAAATTTTATCTCAAGTTGACAAATAACGTCAAGTACTTTTTATGGGCCCTAAATTATTGCTGTAAAAACAAAGGGCCCCGTTATAAAGATAAGATGCCTCAAATGGCTTCACATTTAGAATTCCTGCCTTGTTTTTATGCTATCATAAAGTTGTCACACTAATTAAAGCGGTCATTTGTCCAGGTGTGAAATTAGTAAAGGATCACCCACTGCATGTCCACTATTATTAAAGACAGGGGGCAGGGGGATTAAGGGATTATCGGGTATTGTCAAAGTTTTGACAGGCAGGTGATTTATGACAAGATTATCAAATTGTCATACCGGTAATTAAAATAGCATCCCTAGGAGAAAAAAATTCCAAAAATCACAATCAATGAAACCATAACACATTCCATCCATTCTGATATGTGATAATTATTATCAAAGTCTTAAATGATTCATATAATATATACTCATTGCTTGATAAATTGAAAAAAAAAAATCCAAGAACAATCTCTAAAACTGAGATAGAATATTTTCGAATTTTTTCATTTTATTTCAAGATAAAATTATATTCAAATATTTTTAGTTTTTTTTAATCACTTTTTTGTTTTGTTTTGTTTTTTGATTCAACAAGAATATTGAATTATCTAACCCTGGACTGGACAACCTTAAATATTAAGAAAAATAATTTTCTAGATTTCAATAATTACAAAAAATTTCTATTTTAACCCTTAGCTTGCAGACAACAACTAAGTCTACCCATGTGATCAGTACAGACCAAGGTCTGTGCCATCTGATCATGGTCTGCACTGTTTGCTATTCGGCCAGTGCTTAATTTGAAAGTTCCCTTTAAATAATGAATGGTTTTGTCCAAATGTAGGACAAAACCCCACATTTTAAAACCAGGTTTTGTCCGGTTTGTCCAGAATGAATGATAGAGAAGTTAGCAGCAAGGGTGAACTGGTGTAAAGAAGAAAAAAAAATCAAACAACACACAAATATGATATTTTCTAACTAATTAAAACCACCAGACAAGCTGTTTCACTTATAATTATTATTTTTTTATCAGGACTGATATTCCAATCTCTCAAAGATTAATGAGTTTTTGTTGTCACAGGTATGATTGTCTGTGAGTGCACAGTTCAAGAGAGACAGTTTTAACTAGGTTGCTGATGATAATATTGATTTCAGCAAGGACTGCTACCTGTGTATTATGCAAGACAAGATAACAGAACCATATCCAAGCACTAGACTCTAAAACTACAATCAATAAAAGCAAGAATTTATAAATATCTCTTGTGTCACATACACAAATGCCTTGTAAAAATTATGAAAACTTTACATTATTTTATGAAAAATATGAAAATTTTACATTATTTTAAAAAAACTTTACATTATTTTAAGAAAATGTTACATTATTTTATGAAAACTTCACATTATTTTATGAAAACTTTACATTATTTTATGTAAACTTTACATTATTTTATGTAAACTTTACAATATTTTATGAAAACTTTAGTATTTTAAATGATGTATTAATGATGTATTATAATGTCTCAAAAAGCAACAAAGACGAAAAGTTATTCCAAAATTATACAATAAGTTTAAAAGTTATATCTGTTTCAATACCTGTACAAAAATACAAATTTACAAATTTGAAAAGCGATAAAGTTGATAAATACTTGTTAAAAAAAGCACAATAGCAATACTCACTCTATGATTTATAAAGACAATAACAGAAAAAATAATCCATTTTATATTTGTTTCAAGCACAGGGGCAATATTCTATGTACAAAATTATCCATATTGCAGAACAAATATCATTTTCTACTTTAAACTTAGTCATCAATGATTTTTTTATTCAAATTCACTCAAAACAAATCCTGTATAAGTTTTTATTAAGTTATGCTTGTGTCTATGTTACGTTATATTAAAGATGCTTTTAATACCGAAACAAATTTTTCAGATCTTTTTTCATCGTTGCTCATTGTCTTGATGACACTGGATCTGTTAAATGGTTAAACGATTAAACAATAACACAATTATGTCTTTTGTGACTTTAATACTATACTAGTCTTATCTTAATCCACAATCCATCAGATAACGTCTTATAAGATTACACAAATGACTTATCCTAAAAAGGCTTCATACGATACTATCTAACGTGGTGAAAATACGAAAAGATTTAAAGTCCACGATAAGACAACGTATGCATTGTATCATGAATTTATCATAATTAATTAGTCATACATTAGGCAGGTGTTAATGAGATAGTGGACGGCAGTTTGCGAGCATAATGTCACTCCAAGGCTGACCGTAAAACTGTTATGTTTGTATTTTGATGAATTTTAAATATCAAAAGGGAGCACTTGGAAAACGTCAACTGTTCACTAACAAAAAAAAACAAATTCGTACTTTTCACTGATCTTCTAACTTTAAAATTTTCTTTAATTTACTTTACACTATTTTTGAAATGTCTAAAATTTTCTTTCCACTATTAATTTTTAAAATGTATAAAATTTCTTTTACACTATAAATTATGAAATATAAAAAATTTACTTCACACTATTTTGAAAATTAAAAAAAGAATCAACGATTTAAAAAAGTATATGATATTAATGCAATTGTTAATATAGGCAATATGAAATAATTTTGTGGCTTTAATAGATTGCCCTGTAACAGATCTGAAGTATTTTTACCATGCTTTCATGAATATTCTGTCAAAGAAAAAAAACAAACAATATCAAATGATCCACTTGAGATACACATTCTAGTAAACTGTTGCGTTTACAAAAGCAAAAAAAACAAGAGGGCCATGATGGCCCTGAGGTCGCTCACCTGTATATAGGCCCCCCAACCCCCCCCCCCCCCAACGTTGCAGAGCCAATTTAACCCAAGGGCTTTTATTTGCACAAACTTGGTAGACACCCATAAGAAGATGTTTCATGCTAAACATTTAAGCTCTAGCTCATTGGGCTTTTTAAAAGAAGATTTTTTTAAAGTTTTTACTATACACATATAGTTAAAAACAATGACACCCCTGGGGCCGGGCAAGTTTTGACCCCAGGGCTTTTATTTTATTTCAACTCTAGCTATTTGGGTTTTTTCAAAGAAGATTTAAAGTTTTTGCTAAACACATATAAAAAAAATCAATGACCCCGGGGCGGGGCCAATTTTGACCCCTGGGCTTGTATTTGAACAAACTTGGTAGACACCTATAAGAACATGTTTGATGCTCAATATCTTGGCCAAAGCTCTTTGAGTTTTTTAAAAGAAGATTTTTTAAGTTTTTACTATATGCATATAGGGAAAATCAATGACCCCCCGGGGCGGGGCCAATTTTCACCCCAGGGCTTTTATTTGAACAAACTTGGTAGACACCCATTAGAACATGTTTCATGCTAAATATCTTAGCTCTAGCTCTTTGGGTTCTTTAAAAGAAGATTTTTAAGTTTTTACTATATGCATATAGGGAAAATCAATGACCCCCAGGGGCGGGGCCAATTTTGACCCCAGGGCTTTTATTTGAACAAACTTGGTAGACACACACTAGAAGATGTTTCATGCCAAATATCTAAGCTCTAGCTCTTTGAGTTCTTTAAAAGAAGA